GATAGAGGGGGAGGCGCGACAGTGAGAGATGACAGAGGACGCGAAGGCAAAAGGGGAGGACGAGACGTGTGGGAACGAAGCAACATAGGGTGAGAACGCGGAAAGGAGAGACAGGACGAGCATGAGAGGGACTGCGAGACCAGACGTGAGACGGAGGCGTCAGGTCAGGAGACAGAGGAGGAGTAACAGGAGGAGAACGAGGGGGGAAACGCGCCGGGGACGAGTCCGGCGGAGGAAACATAGGACCGTGGACAGGAAGAGGAGGAGACGGCGAGGGAGGCGCAGGCGAGCGGTCTGGGGAGGGAAGGCCGAGCAGGCGAAGGGCGGACACCGGCGGCGACTGCTGCTGCTGCTGCTCGACGCCGACACCTGGACCACGAGCTGCACCACTGCTACCTCCGGTACACTCCACACCAGCACCCCAAGAAAGAGAAACCTCTCCAGCACCGGTGCCACCCCCGAGCCAGCTGGGACAAGCCACGACAGGAGCCCCATGACTAGCACCCTCCTCAACTCCAGCACCCCCAGAGTCCACGAATGGCTGCGGCTGCTGCGGTGGCGGCGGCAACGGCGGCGGTGACTGCGACGAGGGAGGAGAAGAGACCGTGGGAGGGACAGGCGGCGCAATCGGTGCCACGGGGCCACCAGAGTCAGCCGGATGGGGGGCAAGGATGATAAATCAACGTGCCTAAAAACGAATCTTGGGGCCTGTTCCTGTAGCTTCTCACTTGCTAGGACATTGATTGTGTACTCCTCTTTAGATATACCTTTCTGTCTGGCCTTGTGGCTTCGCTTCCAGTGGCCGGACTAGTGCCGCCCTGGTTTGCTCTTTTCTTGTTTGTACACTTGCTGACTGGTCTTTGGACCCCTACCTCAACGGTTGGACTAGTGCCACCTTGAGCTGCATGTTTCTTGCTTAACACTGCCCCTCATATAGCATAGGGAGTGTGTCAACTTATACATATGTTTGTATGTAGAAGTTGTAGACTAGATAGGTTTGTGTTCTCAGGGGGTACAACTCCAACCCTATTTCTCCCTTGTTCCCACTTATTTCAAGTTATTCTGCTACTCTAACAAAAACACCCCTCCAGGGGACAGCAGCTCGCCCGACCAGAAAGAGTATGGTGGGTTGAAGACGAAAGAGTGTCCACATGGCCGGCCATCCTTGGTAAAGGCTGCTAGGGAGCATCCAATGCTGGACCCGAGCTTGAGAATTGGTGCAAGGATGGCGGAGGGCGAGAGGAGATGGGGGCAGAGTGTGGAGGGAAGGAGGAAGATGGTAGCTGCACCACCAGTGGGGAGAGGGCGGGGCGAGGGGGACGACCCATATGCATTTCTGGATGACGGAATGTTGCCCGGGATGAGGGAAAGGGTAGAACCGCGTAAAGCACCCCCCAGCTGCGTCAGCAAGAGCAAAGGAGTCGTTGCACGGCTCGCACAGCTCGGGGGGGATGACGGCAACAGGTCTGGCTGCTGCCAGCTCCCTCGCTTCTGGCGCCACTGCTGCTGCTGCGGCAATGGGGAGGCAGACACGACTGGCGGCTGCTTCACTATAATGCAGCGAAACGAGGCTGCCATTCAGAGCAGGTCATCGCCACAAGTCCTTGCCATGCCATGGCTTCTTGCTTCCTGCTTCCTGCGGTCCCTCGCGTTGCACCGAGTGTCTGCTGGAGAATGGGCAGGCGGAGAAAAATAAGGGAACAGGAGACGGAATGAGGTAGCTGACTAGAAGGTTGCATGTATGGTAACACCAGAGGAGGGATGTGTGGATCATTCATATGGGTCCCACAATCGTCCTGCCTGCACATGAGTCAGCACAGAGGCGAGAATTGCGCAAGGTGCAGGCTTGCCTAAGCGTGATAAGTGTGGGTCCCACAGTCTCCCTGCCTGTGCATGACTCAGCACAGGAGGGCGCCTTTGGTACAATAGGACCCCTCCGCCCCTGCCATTGCTGCCCCACGCACCCACAGTGCATGCCGTTTAGCACCCACAAAGTGAGAGCATGGAGCGGCACACACAGATAGACTGCGTGGACTGGCTAAGGTACGGGGCGGTGTTGATGTGGAAGAGGTTGCGAGCGTGGAGCATGGGAAGCTTCCAGGAACATGCCACTGGGGCCCTCTCCGGTGATTGCAAGGAGCGAACAGGGGTGAATGGAAAGAAGGAGCGGATCGGAAGAAGGAAGAAAGGCAAGGAGAGAGGCGAGGAGCGAAACCGGGGGTTGGGCAGGTGGAGGCAGGGCGGTAAGAGAGGGGACGAGGGAGAGAAGCAGAGGGAGCGGTACAGAAGGGGATCTCTGTTTCGGAACTCGGATATTCTAACGCGCCCCCACACAGCTGGGCGAGAGGGATCAGGGGGGGTGGCCAATCATAGGACACCAGCTGTGCCTTCCGCCTCGAGCCAATCAGAGCAGAGGCAGAGGCAGCGAAGCCCAGGGGAGGGGAAGGAGCGCACGAGGGAGATTGAACGGGAACGCGCTCCCCGTTCCCCCCCTTGCCGCCTTCCCCCCCCCTGAAACCCTCTGCGTGCTGCTCTCTGTTCGACTGGTTAGGAGGCAGCGGACAAGGCCAGTAGTATGAGTCAGAATAATGTTTTCATCATCACTTCCCGCTGCCAGTCATTCCTAGAAAGATCGCACACGCGCTTTCTGAGGCGCACTTACATAAGAGCGAGAGGAGACAACCTTAGGAAACGAGGGGTTTTAACGAGGGTGCAGGGCAGGGCAAAGCTCGGCTAGTGTACAGCAAGGGAATTTGCAGACTGTAAAGCGTGAAGGACGCTTTCGCAAATTGAAATCATTGATAAAAGCGTCCTTCGCCCTTCATTGACCATATGTACTTTTGAAGGTGCTCATGCATTGGAGCTGGAGGGATCAGAAAGTACTCCTTGCTCTGCCAATCACGGCGCACCAGCCTTCCCCGCCGCCACGAGCCAATCAGAGCAGAGGCAGAGGCAGCGAAGCCCAGACGAGGGGAAGGAGAGCACGAGGGAGATTGAACGGGAACGCGCTCCCCGTTCCCCCCCTTGCCCCCTTCCCCCCCCCTGAAACCCTCTGCGTGCTGCTTGCTGCTGATTGGACGAGAGGCAGCAGGCAAGGCGGTGCCTGATTCAGAATAAAGGCTTCATCATTTCCCTCTGAACCGCTTTCCGCAAAGCTGGCTCGAGCTGCCTGCGGCAGGAGAACGGGCTCGCAGGCCAAGGGTTTCTTGACACAACTCGGGCTCGCAGTCACGAAGACTGAAGGGAGAATAGACCCAAGGAAGACCCACAGATTGGAGCACCGCACGAGGACGTAAAGGAAAACGGGAAACTAAGCCACGTGAGACGCTGAAAGCCCGGTAAGCCTTTGCTGGAAGAGGCTGCCCTACCAAGCGAGGAGAGAGGGATCAGAATAGGGGTTTGAAATCAGTGCACATGGGGTTCGTCTGCCGCCAGCAGCCAATCACAAGATACCGCACCCTTACAGGCAGTGAACCTTGAGAAACTTCCCAGGGAGGGAATGGCCGGGCGGCAAGAGCAAAGCCCACGGCGTGGGTCAGACCTTTTACTGCACCATCATCTCCCTCTCGGCACGAGAGCTACTGAAGCCTCGTCGAAGGAAATTATCCGCGCACCTAGATTTTGCAGGGTGTTTTTGCGAATTCTCAAAATCACCTAGAATCGACGCACAGAAGGCACACACGAATGTGTCTTGGACATCCCAAATCCACGTGTCTACCGCATAACACATTCAGTCGTCGGAAATCTGAGTGGGGAATCTGCCCGTCCCAGAACATGCTGAACCGCACGTCGCACATTACAAAAGCCGCGAGTGCAGCATAACGTCACACAGCATAACGTCGCACAACATAACGTCGCACAACATAACGTCGCATCGCACATCATAACGTCGCATCGCACATCATGACGTCGCACAGCAAAACGTCGCACGACCGTACCTGACTCTGTTTGGTTTTCCCCGCGCCGAGCAGCCGAGCCGTCTCCTTCGGCTCCATTCTTGAGGCCCCTTGAGAATGCCGAGCAGCGGGTGCCGTCTCCGCTACCAATGATCTGCCAGCTGGCTGGAACGCCATCACGGCGTGCGACTGCACACGAAGTGCGGCGGGCGACGTGCGACGTGCGACGTGCGACGTATGCGAAGAATGAACGCAGAACGGAGACGACCATTCCCGCAACACCGCTTCTACGTGCTCCAACTCAATTTGGTTGTTGCGCTGGAACTGGAAATCTCAACGAAGGCTCAGTGGCAGCGGCAGGTTTCAGATAAATCTGCGGTTATGCGGTTGCACGAAGCTCTGCGCGGTTGTACGAAGCTCTGCGCGGTTGCACGAAGCTCTGCGCGGTTATACGAAGCTCTGCGCGGTTGTACAAGGCTCTGCGCGGTTGTACGAGGTTCTGCGGTGCTGCGATTGTGTGATGATCAGGGAGGCACACGACGCAGCCCAAGACATAGGGCAGCGCTCTCTGCACTGGGGGGCATCGTGAGGATTAACCGAGAAAGCATAATCGCCCGCATTGAATGTCAACCCGGAATCAGCAAAGATATGGCGGCGACTTCGAGCTAGCAACGCTATTTCGCTTAGCTTTTCCTATCTACTTGGCAATTAACTCGACCAGCGGACGGGAGGAACCAGGGAGAAAGAAGACCAGGTGATGGCTAAACGAGAACCTCGATGTTGGTTGCTGGATGGGTTGGGAGGGAATGGAGGGTTTTACGAAGCCGACGAACTCTGGCCGAAATTATACGGGTTACAGTGAAGTAACTATTCCTCGCACCACCATGCTTGCGATGTTGGAGGTTCGCGAAACAAAGAAGTTGGTCGTAACGAAGGAGGCCCGTCGGCAACTTCAAGGGCGAGGGGGGAATGCCCGTTCACCGTACTGCGCTCCTAATTGACGAACAGAACCGCGCAGACTTCAATAACCAAGAAGCAATGCCCCAATCCTATGGTCAATTTCACCCCCCCACTAGACCACAAGGCTGCTCAATGTTATGGCGGCAAGAGGCTTCAATATGTTTCAATTTTCTCAATTTCACAGAACACCACCTACTTCCCGAAAGTTGGCCACCGCCGTGATTCATGCAAGCCGCATGAATCACGTTTTTATGGGGAGCGCTTGAGCTAGGCGCTTCGCCCCACACAGTGGATATCTCGTTCGCTTGCGTTACCGTGTAGCACAGTGTTGCAGCCTTCGCCAGCACACCATCCGAATTCGCCCATCGGTCTCGCCATTGCCAGCTCTCCATTCCATTTCCTTATCCCTACAGCTTTTGCGAACCCTAGAGATTTTACCTCCAAATGTCGCGTCCCGTGGGTTACACGGGTTCGGGCCGGCTGCACGAAAGAAAGCATTCGCCCATGGCGTCATCCCCCTCCCCGCTCGCCGCCAACAGCAGCAGCAGTAGTAGTAGCAACCCTCGGAGCGTCTTACAGACGCACCACGCCTACTACTCCTCGCCGCCGCCCGACCACGACGACGCCGACGACGCTCGCGAATCGTCGGGTGCGAAAGCGTTCGGTTTCGCGTCGGGCGTTCTGTCGTCGCGCGCGCGCGCGACAGTCGGAGCGGTCGCAGGGCATCTGCAGCGCGTGCGAGCGGGCGTCACCGCGCGATTATCGCGACTTTCGCGCGACCAGGCAGGTGCACGCGGCGTAGCAACTCCCTCAATCCCCCTCTCTAGAATTCAGACAGATTCTACTCCCTAGACTCTATCTCAACCACTTGTTAGGAGGTCTCACTCCAGTCTCGCCCCTCCCCCTCCCCCACACCCGTTACAGGTGGACGCGGCGCTAACAGTGGGCCTCGTTGCACTGGCGCTATAGGCGGCTCTATGGCTGCAAGACGAAGTGCAGCTGCTGGCAGCGCCCCAGAGCACATGCGCGTCCCTCCCTCCCCCCATTCCCCCTCCCCTCCCCCCCTCCATACATCCCCGTTACAGGTGGACGCGTTAACAGTGCTAACAGCAGGCCTGGTAGCACTAGCGCTGTGGGCGGCGCTATGGCTGCAAGGCGAAGTGCAGCTGCTGGCAGCGCCGCAGGGCACGTGCGCGTCCCTCCCGGACTTTCCCCCAGACGAAGCGGACGTGCTGGGGAGGGTCCCCCAGTATGGGAAGTTAGATTTAAGCGCGCCAATGGTGGGGAAATACTTGAGGCTTATTCACCAGTACCTGGAGCCCTGGCAGCCAATACCGGTGAGGCTTGTAAAGGGTATGTGGGGATGGGTGTGTGCTGGAAAGTATGCCCCTGTATGGGAAGATCGAGCTGAGAGCGCCCATGGTGGGGAAATACTTGAGGCTTATTCACTGGTGGTACCTGGAGCCCTGGCAGCCAATGCCGGTGAGGCTTATAATAAGGGGTATGTGGGGATGGGTGTGTGCTGGGAAGATGGAGCTGAGCGTGCCCATGTTGGGGAACAACCTGACTTATACAGCATCCCATCCCATCCCATCCAATCTCATCCCATCCCATCTCATCCCATCCCATCTCATCCCCTCCCCTCCCCTCCCCTCCCCTCCCCTCCCCTCCCCTCCCCTCCCCTCCCCTCCCCTCCCCTCCCCTCCCCTCCCCTCCCCTCCCCTCCCCTCCCCTCCGCCCCCTTCCCCTCCCCTCCCCTCTCAACCCATCCCAATCCATCCCCACCGTACCATCTCATCCCATGCAATCCCAGGGCCTTGAGTCTGGTTTGGGCCACACTGGCTTCGTCACTCCCGAGGCTCTCTACCGCTTGGCTCGGCAGCCGTCTGTCATGTCGTGCTGCGGCCATGTCAAGGTGCGTTGTAACTGGCAGCAGCCTTTCATGTCAAAGTGCGTTACAACTGGAAGCGTTTCATGTCAAGATGCGTTACAACAACTGGCAGCAGCGTTTCGTGCCGAGGTGCGTTACAAACGGCAGCAGTAGTATGTCAAGTTGCTTCACCTTTGGTTTTTTAAGATTCTCAAAAACTAACTTACCTCAAGGTGCTTCACATTTGTTTTTTTAGAATTCTAAAAAACTTAACTTACTGTGCAGCCGTGCTTCACCTTTGGTTTTTTAGAATTCTCAAAAACTAACTTACCTCAAGGTGCGTCACATTTAGCAGAGTTCCATGTCAAAGCTTTTCACCTTTGGCTGTATTGTATTGATACTACAAGGCGGTTTCAATCATACTCAATACCATTCTGCATGCAGAGCACGGCTTGGCTGCAGTTCAACGCCCATAGAGAACCCCAGGCCCAGTGGTGGAGATCCAGGGATCCATGTGTCATTGCATGGCTGCAATTTGTAGTTCAAACACTTAATCTACTTCACTGCAGGTGCCTCTGTGCTCCACGCCAGGTGATCAATGGCAGGGTCTTTTTCCGCCATGGCGGCTTCTGGCACGTCTAGTCTACTACCGCCTCAACGGATTTCCATGCCCATGTGCATACCCATGCCTCTGCATCACTGTGCCCCTCTGTGCCCCTCTGTGTCCCTCTGTGCCCCTCTGTCCCCCTCTCCTCTGTGCTCCACACCAGGTGATCAACGGCAGAGTTTTCTTCCGGTACGGGGGATTCTGGCACGTCTACTACCGCCTCAACCGCTTTCTGCAGACAGTCAAGATGATACAGGTGAGTCAGATGAGTCAAATAAATCAGTTATCCTTGTGAGTCAAGACACTTAGCCTGCCACACCACGCCCCCCCTTCGTTTCGCTTCATAAGGATGCAATCTTCATGTTATCCCATGCATGGTGGTAGGTCCTCGACATGTTATCCCATGCATGGTGGTAGGTCCTCGACATGTTATCCCATGCATGGTGGTAGGTCCTCGACATGTTATCCCATGCATGGTGGTAGGTCCTCGACATGTTATCCCATGCATGGTGGTTGGTCCTCGACATATTATCCCATGCATGGTGGTAGGTCCTCGACATGTTATCCCATGCATGGTGGTAGGTCCTCGACATGTTATCCGCAACCATACTTCTTTCTTCACATCGCATTCAACATGTGGGATCCTCACCCCAGTCCCTTTAACCCTCGGCTGTGGCTCCCCCCAGGCGAAAGTGTGCATTACATCCGAGCCTCGACTAGAGATAATAATGAACACATGTGACCACCAGTACCTTATCCCGCGACACAGTCGCCAGAGAGCAGCAGTGTTGAGGAGATGGTTTACGCAAGTAGGAAAAGCAGTTAAAAACCAAGCGTAGCTAGTAACAAAAAAAATAAAATGATTGCCAGCCCTGACCAAGCCCCAACTAGAGGTGATAGTCAATGCCTGCGACCACCCCTACCGTATTCCCAAACTGCTTTAGAGTCGACTCAAAATTACTAGATGATTCTGAACACATGCAACCACCCTTACCTTACTCCCCCCTCCTCCCTCCATATGCCCTATGTGCACTTACCCTGCAGGTTGCAGTCGATGTCTATGGGCTGAGAGACTTGCAACTCTATGTTGCCAGAACGCATTTGGCGAATATACGCTTGCGTTTATACGCTAGCGTATATACGCTAAATGCTTGGACTCGGGCTTTCATACGCTAGGTATACGCTAGCCCGGGCAGGCTAAAATGTTTACCCGGGCAGGAAAAAAAGCCTACACCGACTTTCTGCGTGACTCCTACCTCCTTACCAAAAAGCCTGAAGTATTTGTACACCTAGTGTGTACTATCAGGCTCGTATGTCGTCGACGATGTGGACGCAGTAACCTCGCGCGCCCACATCACTAAAAGCGGTCGACATTATCGTAGTGGGATAACTTAATTAACAACGCGATGGGTAGACTATGAGGCTGAGTCGCTAGGAGAATTGCGCTGACTACGCGATGGCATTTCTACTAGGGTTGACGCGAATGACGGGGGGAAGGGAGAGAGTGGAGGGAGGAGGATTTGTAAGTGAAGGTTGGGTTTTCTAGATGTAGGGGAGTTCAGTGCGGTGAAGGGGAGGGAAATTTGTTGGAACCCACTTCGACCTCCCTGGTTGGGTTTCGCGACTGGGCGATTGTGTCGATGAATTCGCCATGTCAAGAAATCGCGGAAGAAAAAACTCCCGATTTTTTTGTCGGGCTGCCCCCAAAATTTTACCCGAGCATATAGCGTATCTGCCTGCGTTTAGCGTCTGCGTATACACGCTAGCGTATATACGCTAGACGCTTCCCTAAAAATGCGTTTATGGCAACATAGCTGCAACTCGAGAGAATTCTCAACACGTGCGGCCATTCTCAGTGCTTCCACAGCAGCCTCTGGGCCGACCGCACTGGCTACCCTCCCGTCCTCCTTTTCCTCTTCCCCATTTGTCCATTCTTCATCCTTCTTCCTTCTCTCCTTCTTCCCTCTCTCCTTCTTCCCTCTCTCCTTCTTCCCTCTCTCCTTCTTCCCTCTCTCCTTCTTCCCTCTCTCCTTCTTCCCTCTCTCCTTCTTCCCTCTCTCCTTCCCTCTCTCCTTCTTCCCTCTCTCCTTCTTCCCTCTCTCCTTCTTCCCTCTCTCCTTCTTCCCTCTCTCCTTCTTCCCTCTCTCCTTCTTCCCTCTCTCCTTCTTCCCTCTCTCCTTCTTCCCTCTCTCCTTCTTCCCTCTCTCCTTCTTCCCTCTCTCCTTCTTCCCTCTTCATCCTCTCTCTCCCCTCTTCTCCCTCTTCCTGCTCTGTCACACCCCAGGATGCCGTGAACGTGTATGGTTTAACGGCTCTCCGCTTGGAGATGATCATCAACACATGCGATCATCCCTACTCCCTCATCGCCCTCCCTACCTCACTCCACACAAACCCTTGCAGGATGCAGTGGACGTGTACGGGCTGACAGACCTTCGCCTCGAGATGATTGTCAACACGTGCGACCACCCCGAGTCGTTCTACAGCAGCCACTGGGCCGACCGCGCTGGTTACCCTGTTATGAGCATGGGGTTTACGGTTGACACCATGGACATCCCCATCCCGGACCCACTTGACTTGACGGAGGACTACACGCCTGACCTCAGCACTCAGGTATGGGTGGGTGTGTGTTATAAAATGCATTCAAAGCCTTTGCGACACCATGGACATAACCATTCCCGACCCGATTCATTTTTCCTCCATACCCCCGCACAAGCAACCTGAATTCCAGGTCTCCTGGGAACGGAAGGTGGCACAAGCTGTTTTCCCATAAGAAACCACCGATTTCGATTTGTTCGGCGTCAACTTGGGGGCCAACTTGTGCATGTGGCTGCACCGCCTATCCGACGACGTGCACTCGTCGCTGATGGAGGCCCACATCAACGCGTGGAGCCATGTGTGCAGATTCAGAGTCAATTCAAGTGTGGTTTTCCCCCCTTTACTCTGCACCGCCCTCTTACACCAGGTGCCCTGGGTACGTAAAGAAGCACACGCAGAGTTCCACGGCAGAACAAAAAACTTTGACGTGCTGGGCGGCAACTGGGGCACAGGCTGTCGGACAATCACTCCACATCAACGTGTGGAGGAGCCATGCGAAGCCGATGGGTCTGGATTTTGAGTGGATAAGTGTCTTTTTTCCTCCATGTCCCACCATAAATAATGCAACTTCCAGGTCCCCTGGGAGCGCAAGGAGGCCCGAGCCGTGTTCCGCGGGAAGACCACCAACTTCGATATGCTGGACGGCAACTGGGGTGCCAACCCCCGCGTGCGGCTGCACAGGCTGTCGGACGTGCACTCGGCGCTGATGGAGGCCCACATCAACGCGTGGAGCCATGCGAAGCCCGCTGTGATCAAGGCGATGGCGGAGGATGGGCTGCTGCTGGCCAAGCGCATGAACTTCACCCAGTTCAACGCCTTCAAGTACCAGGTGGGTGGGTGGCGTGCTTTCAAGTACCAGGTGGGTGGGTGGCGTGCTTTCAAGTACCAGGTGGGTGGGTGGCGTGCTTTCAAGTACCAGGTGGGTGGGAAGCGTGCCTTCAAGTACCAGGTGGGAAGCGTGCCTTCAAGTACCAGGTGGGTAGCGTGCCTTCAAGTACCAGGTGGGTAGCGTGCCTTCAAGTACCAGGTGGGAAGCTAAGCTATCCGTGCACTACGTTCAAGATCAGGTGGGTGGCGTGCTTTCAAGTACCAGGTGAGCTGCCAACACTCCCGTGCATGCTCCTCTACCTGCTGGCCAAGCGCATGAAATTCACTCAGTTAAATGCGTTGAAGTATGAGGTGGGGTGCTACCAGGTGGAGTGCTGCAGTTGAACGAGTATAGTTTAGGGTTTAGGTGGGTGTCAACCCTAAACCCAAAACCCTAAACCTTAAACCCTATCAGGTGGGTGTCAACACTCCCACATGCGTGTCTGGCTACTGGTGAAGCGTATGAGCCTCACTCCCTTCGATGCCTTCCGAGTACCAGGTAGGGTGTTATGTGGGGTGTTATTAGGTGGGGTGTTATTAGGTGGGGTGTTATTATGTGGGGTGTTATTATGTGGGATGTTAAATTGTGGGGTGTTGATATGCGGGGTGTCATTAGGTGGGTGGGGTGTTATTAGGTGGGGTGTTATTGGGTGGGGTGTTATTATGTGGGGTGTTAATATGCGGGGTGTTATTAGTTGGGGTGTTATTAGGTGGGGTGTTATTAGGTGGGATGTTATTAGGTGGGGTGTTTTTATGTGGGGTGTTAATATGCGAGGTGTTAATATCCGGGGTGTTATTATGTGGGGTGTTAATATGCGGGGTGTTAACATAGGGGGTGTTATTAGGTGGGGTGTTATTATGTGGGGTGTTAATATGCGGGATGTTAATATGCGGGGTGTTAATACGTGGGGTGTTAATATGCGGGGTGTTATTAGGTGGGGTGTTATTATATGGGGTGTTATTAGGTGGGGTGTTATCAAATGACGCCCCTTTTCCCTTTGGTTCTCCCATCCCCTTCCCCTCCCATGCACCTTTGTCGTCTTCTCCTTGCTCGATCCTCAGGTGATTGTAGACGGTGGCGGGGGCAGCTGCAGGACGTGCGGAGTGCTGCGGTCAAATCAACTCAGCATCCGCCAAGAGACGCCCCTCTTTCAGTTCTATGAGCCGCTGCTGGAGGACGGGGTGCACTGGCTGGTTACCACACGCACGTGAGTAACCATGTGATAACCGCTGTTGGTTATCACATGCACATGATTTGCCAAGTACCAAACTGTGGTTGGTTGTTATCTGCATGTAGGTAACCATGTGGTAACCATGCAGGCTGTTAATGGATTGCATTCGCAAAAAAGCGCCTCTTTCTCAGTTCTGTGTGAGCCGTGGAATGGCTTTTGAGGGAGACATGGAATGGAGGGATTGCACTGGCTGGTTACCTCACGCACGAGAGTAGCCAGATCCCAGATGGGTTATGCATCCCTGTGATTGGTGCATGCAGCATACCACCTGGCGCACTGCGTGTACTCCCCCCCTCGTGCCCCCCCTCCCCCTCTCCTCCAATCACAGGTTCTCTGACCTGCCTGCCAAGATCCAATGGGATCAAGAAAACGACGATGCAGCACAGCGGTTGGTGCACGGAGCGAACCACATGGCGTTACCGGTATGCATGCACGTGGAGTGGCAGGCGGCTGTGCCAACAGCCAGGGCAAGGGGCTATAAGGGCATTGAGAGACGGTTCAACAGACACCTGCTTACCTTCCTAGCACTCCCCCCGCAATCCCCCTTTCAACGCCCCCAATCACAGGTTCTCCGATCTGCCGGCTAAAATCCGCTGGGCTCAGGAGAACGACGATGCGGCGCAGCGGTTGGTGCATGGAGCGAACCACATGGCGCAGTATGCATGCACGTGGAGTGGGAGAAGGCTGTACTGGGCGCTGCTCCTGGTGAAGTACCAGGACGTGATGCAGGACCCCTCTGCTGTTACTGAGCCCACTGCTAATGAGATCTGCACCAAGCAGTGAGTGTGGAGTCAAGCAGTGAGTGTTGAAAACAGGTGGTGAGTGCTGATGCTCTGGCAAGCACAGGTTGTGCATCCCAGGCACGCCTCGGCTGTGCTGCGCGCTGCTGCTGGTGAAGTACCAGGACGTGATGCAGCACCCCTCTGCTGCCACCGAGCCCACTGCCAACGAGATATGCACCAAGCAGTGAGTGCAGTGCTGTGTGATGGTCCCAGGCAAACCCTTGCATGCGGACAGGGCAAAGCCCATACCCTTGGAGCCCTTACCCTTGAAGCCTGTACTGGGCTCTGGTTCCAAGCAATGAGTGCTGTGCTGTCACTATGGCCTGAGCCGAGCGAGACCAGCTTTCTCTCTGTGCATTCTTCGTACTCCCTCCCTCCCTCCCTCACCTCACCCCCCCAAACTTCCCCCCACCTCACAGCCTCCCATCCCTTGACTTTTGAGTCGACTCAGAAGTAACCTAGTCCCGAGCAGTGAGTGCTGTGCTGTCACTGTGGCCCGAGCGAGACCAGCTTTCCCTCTGTGTGTTCTTCGCACTCCCTCCCTTCCTCCCTCCCTCACCCCCCAAACTCCCCTCCACCCCACAGCCTCCCATCCTCCCATCCCATGTTGCTTCGTCTCAAGGCCTCTGCTCCAATCCCCTCCCAATGCCACCAAGCCTACATCCAAGCATCAGCCTGATTGCGCTGTTTTCACGCTGCCTTCCCTACCCGCCTCCCTCCCTGTTATTGTGTCAGGCCTCTGCTCCAATCCCCTCCCAGCGCCACCCACCCGGCACTGGTGCACTGTGCTCACTCGGGCGCTCCCAAGTACCAAACCAGTTATGTTTTCTTTCATCTTCCCTGCCCACTTCCCTCTCCTCATTCCTACCATTCCAGGCCAAATCTCCAATCCCCTCCAACGCCACCAACCCACCGTTGGTGCTCTGTGCCGATTCCGACGCTCCCAAGCACCACCCCGACTGTGCTTTCTTCATGTTCCCCTCTCTTCCCCCCCCACCCACTCCCTGGTCCACTGTTCCAGTCCTCTGCTCCAATCCCTTCCAAACGCCACCATCTTTGCAGCAGAGCGCTGTGCTGCTGACCCGGAGGAAACCAAGCACCAGCCTGACTGTGCATCTTTTCCATCCTCCCCCCCCACCCCCCACCCAATCTTGCTCCTTTACTTTTCCAGTCCTCCCCCCAGCGCCACCAACCCTGCATTGCGCACTGTGCTGTCGCCGGTGCTCCCGAGCACCAGCCTGACTGTGCTACCTTCTTGTCTCCCTCTCTATGGCCTCCATCCCCCTCCCTCCCCTCTATATGCCTGCTGTCCCCCATGCTCCTAAGCACCAACCTTTCTGTGCTACCTTCACTTATCCTTCTCTATGGCCTCCACCCCCCTCCCTCTCTCTCCACCCCCCCCCCCTCCCTCCCCCTCTGGCCCCATCTCCCTGCTATTGCCCCAGGCCAATTATCCGATCTCCTCCCAACACCACCAACCCGGCATTGGTCCACTGAGTTGGAAATATTACACCAACACACGGTGTCCATTGTGCTGAGCCCGAGGCTCCCAAGCACCAGCCTTGATGCAAATGTGCGTTCTTCATATTCCCCTCTCTAACCCCCCACCCGTCCCTGTTTTGCTTCAGGCCAATTCTCCAAACCCCCCCAAACGCCACCAACCCCGCGTTGGTGCACTGTGCCGACCCCGATGCTCCCCAGCACCAGCCCGACTGTGCTTTCTTCTGTGCCAAAGCCACCATTCCAGACTCCGGGCTCATCTGGCTTCGAGCAGATGTGCTTCGTGGGCTCAAAAAGATTGGCCCGCCATGATTACATGATGTTTCATTAGGAGGTACCTAGTTGTTAGTTATTCTAACATCCCGGCTGCGATTTGTGGGAAGCGAATATCCAAGGTGAAATAGGAGGTCAGTTGTGGGAGTTAGTTTGTTATATATTGTTAAGTAATGCTGATTCCTGAAAACTGTTACCTCATTCATAAAAACCTCTACAAACGGATAGTACAATCACGGACGCGAATTTGACGTCTCTGGCATACCCCACCAGGCTACCATCCAGTCATCCCCCAAGCCTACCCCCTCCTCCATGCTTCCCTCCTAATCTCTTTCGCGAGTTCGTCTGTAAGAGGGACGTGACTACGCGACGAGTAGGAACACGAGCAGGACGAGGAGACTTGTCACCATCCTGGCAGGTGATGCGAGCGAACCTGTTACGGAAAGGGAGCGGGAGCGGGTGCGGGAGCGGGAGCGGGTGCGGGAGCGGGAGCGGGTCCGGGGAGCGGGAGCATCAGAACGGTTAGGTTAGATTAGATGCGCGAAACTGGCGAAACGGAAAATACATAGTAGCTTATAAAAATCCGGAGAAGAGCCACATCATGTACAAAGCATACCGTCTGTCGGTACCTTGCAGCAGGCTTGGGTGCAGAACAAAAGGCTGTTAACGGCCACGGTTCCGCAGGGACTCAATGTAACAACCTCAGACATCCGTGCCTATCAGAAGTGACGGTACCTACCAGCAGGTTTTGATGTGGAGGGGGACGCCTGATTAACGGCCACGGTGCCGTCGGGGTTCACCGTGAATCCCGGCGTCTGAATCACGCCGCCGCCGCCGCCGCCGGTGCTGATGTTGAGCCCGCCGGGGAACGTAACGCCGCCGTCAGGATTGACGGCCGTCCCGTCGGAACTGGTAACGGTGCCGTTAGGGTAGACGGTGAATCCGCCGGCAGATACGGATCCGTCGACGTTCGTTGTCGGGGTGATCACCTGACCGTCGGCGTTTACAATCGTGCCGTTCGGAAAGTACGTCGTGCCGTCGACCGTCACGCTGCCGTCCTCCGCGTCGGTTGAATAACCGTTGCCGTTTACCGTACCGTTCGGGCTGACGGTAACCCCTGGAATCTGAATCGACCCGTTAGTATTGACGTCCAGAGCTCCGGGAACTGAAACCGTCTGAGCGACGGCTGGATTGGCGGCTGGCGAGAAATCCGCTGCGAGGAGCAGAAGCACAGAGAGCACAAGCGCGCGAGACGCCATCGAGGCCCAATCTAAGCTGTATCGTCACGATATGCTGAGAAAGGAACGTCGTGTTTGGATGATGGTTTGAACAACCGTGACGTAGCGTATTGGGGAACTGGACGTTCGGCTGAGGGGACACTACTGTACGATTGTGAGATTGTTAGACTGTATGTAATCGTGGAGAGACGCATTCTGCCATCTCTCCTGGCATAACGGGTGGTAATGGGTGGAAACTGTCCTTCCTCCCTCCCTCCCTGCCCCCGTCCCTCCCTCCGTCCCTCCCTCCCTTGGTGCGACAGTGCTCCAGTTGCTTCCGCCAGTTTAGTAACGTAAGCTGTCACGCCACTTCCTTTCCGCCCTCTTGCTTGAAAAAACGAAGCCATCTCGCTGCTGTGAAAATACAATTTTCTGGCGGACACGCAGGAGCGCGTCTGATCTGGTGGCGGGTCGCTCGCAAATACCACCGACATAGAAACGAGGTTCCTCCTATCTTCCTGGCCAAAGCTCGCGTGATTCCTGGGCCAGTCCATCAGGCACGACGGAGATGTCATTATGCCTGCTCTCTTGTATATACATTCAGCCTGCAAGCAACTCAGCATTTCTGCTGCAAGAGCCACCCAGGCGTCGGTGCGTTGTGTTCTGGTTCGCGATGCCCTCGGTTATAACTGGTTTAGTAAGGTGCGCGAAGGTCAGCTGGGGTGGAGTACGTCTCAGGGCACCCTATTGTAACGCATTTCACCTAGTGTAAACGAACGCGTTCGGACAGTACCGAGAGCAGTTTGGTTCCACTCCAGTTTCCCTTCCCAGTTCTGCTGTTTGTTCGGTTTAGCTCGGTGCAGCGCAGTCTGGAAGTGCAAAAACGCAAACCCCCAAAAATGCCCAACTGGAGAAGAAATGAACGAAATCCGCTGTAAGAGTTACCAGCCCAACGACCGCAAGAGCTAACAGAACGTCACACAAATCACAGTTCCTTCAGCGAAACCTTTTGTGAGACACGTTAGGGCGCATCCAGCGCGTTGTTATACTGTTCAGTTGGCGTGACAGATACAGAATTATGGCGTGGTAACCCGAAAATCCGTGTCTTTTAGGACCCGCTCGAAAAGTGGGCGTTCTTAGCGGACGCTCGGAAGGGTGCCAGCAGTCGAGTTGCGCAGGTTTCGAAAGCGGCTGGAAATCGTGTCCGAAATGAACTCCCGCCAGAAACGACAAATCCTGGCTGACGAAAAGTAAATACACGACTTCGTCAAATTCGGGCAGATTCGTCAATGTCGTGGCAAAACCAGCGAGGCCTCGTTTTCCAGGCACGTAATACCGTAACTCAATTGTTTTCGCCAATATATTTTGTTTTTCGCTTCGCAGAGCATTGGTCGTGTCAAAAGCTGGACACGTGGCCGAGCCAAGCATGCTCTCTGTGGTCGAAAGGTGGGCCTCGCAACATCTACATTCCCCGTAACATTTTTTTCGAGCATGTACAGAAGACGTAAAAAGCGCGTGTGAGGGCAAAATGAACGCGCTGGACACGCCCTTAGTGCTAATCGCTCACACAGCTGATCTGAAAAGACCAGTGCTTGTCCGCACCGCTGTTCCATCTTTCCTGTGGTCTCGCATTATCATCCAGTGAATGCCTAGGTAGTTGCGTCTTCGTCTGGCCCACAAACGGAGGTATGTTCTCCGAGAGCGACGGGCGACAGCCATTGATACGCTTATTGTGCACCCGCAAGCATCAACCTGGTCTACAGCCCTTACGCGTTTCTCAGCTTTAAAGCTTTAGGATCGAGGCAATAGCATCGTAAAATTTCCCGATTTGAGCCCACTCGGCCGGCAGCCAGTCGAAACATGTCTGCCTCACCACTGCAGCAGCAGCGCCAAAAGGGAAGGAGCTGGCCGCAGCCAGATCTGCGGCTCATGCCACGTCATCCCGAGGTGTACGAGCCCTGCGACGACTCCTTCGCTCTCGCCGACGCCATCGCCACCGACATCGCACGGTTCTACCCGTCGCTCGCAACCAGCTGTAGTCCCAGTCAACCGTCGTCCGACAACGCCCCTCCGTCTTCCCCCTCTCTCCGTCAGGACTCCTCTCGCGCTCCCCCATTCCCCGCGCTAATTCTCGAGCTCGGGTCCGGCAGCGGCTTCGTCCTCGCATCAGTGGCGCTCGCCCTCCGCGCCTTCTCTGCCCGTTCCCACGCCTCCTCTGTCGCCTCGGGCAATGCTGCTGGCAATGTTGCTGACACTGCTGGCAGAAGTGCTCCCACTTCCGCCATCTCCCTTGCCTCTCAAGCCTCGTTTCTCGCGGTGGACATCAACCCGCAAGCCGCTGACATCACCAGGCAAACCCTGGCGGCGCACACCATTCTCGCGGACGTCCTTATATCGGATCTCGGATCCGGCCTTGTACCGAGGATGGCAGGCCAAGTGGACGTCCTCATTTTCAACCCGCCGTATGTCCCGACTTCACCCCAAGAGGTGCGCCGTCCGGGAATCACGCAAGCCTGGGCGGGAGGGAATCGTGGGCGGGAGGTGATAGATAGAGTGATGGCGGTGGCAGGGGAGCTCTTGTCCCCTGGAGGGGTGTTTTACCTGCTTGTGGTGGCTGAGAATGACCCTGGAGAGGTGGAGGAGAGGATGAGGTTGTTGGGGTTTGAAGGAGAGGAGCTGCTGAGGAGAGGGACAGAGGAAGAGGTGATAGTGGTGATCAAGTTCTGGAGAAGATAAGAGCGTGTTCCTATGGCCTCTTCCCAGGCTAACCTCTTCCCAGACTCTCCCTCTTGCCTGAATCTCGACAATGCCGAGCCCAATGTCGCGTCAATTTCGCCCAATTTCGCGTCATGCTGCCCGGAACCGCACTGCACAGTTTTACGTCAATTTCACGCCAAATTACGTCGCCCTGAAGCGCGCGAGTTTGGGAAGAGGTTGGCCTGGGAAGGGGCCATAGGAACGCTGAAGCTTACGGTACTATACTGTGGAGTGGCTGCTCACATTGCTTGAAGAACAGGTGTATTTACATAACCGAGTAACGCAGTGTCTGCCAATGGATGGATGCTTCTGCGATACCTGGTACCTCCAGTGTCATCTATCTAATGGGTGGCTGTTCCATGTCAACCAAAAACAGTGATATCATGGCAACTTGTTATGGCTGGCTACCCTCCCCTCTCACTTTCCTCTTGGGTGTATTTCCGCTTTTCACATTCAGAAACAGTTGAGCTGGGGCTTGGTGGGACAGATTGACAAAGCAACGGTACTATTTTCACCGCTAGGAAACATACTCCAGCACCTCAACGTGCTTGAAGAAATTCACACGCTTCGGGCTCTTTCTCCTAAGCAAGCCCTGTTCCGACCTTCGAGGCGCCTCAGAACTCTCCCTCCAAGTCGAGCCCTCCTCAGAGCCACTGGGAGGTGCCACGGGGCTTGGCTTGACACCCTTCCCTATGGCCCTTGCAGCAGGGTTGCTGGTTGGTCTATAGCATTGGGGAGAGGCAGCAGTGAGGCTACTCGACCTGGGACTTGGGTGTCGAGGAGAGGCAGGGATGCTGCTGGGCCTTGGACACTGGGGGGAGTCCTGGCTATCATTTACCCTTGGAGGGTGAGGGAAGGCAGGAAGGCTGCTGGGCCTTGAGCGTTGGGAAGAGGCATGGCTGGTGTTTACCCTTGGCTGGCATGGCTGAGGAGAGGCAGGGGGGGCATTCGGCTCTGTACTGCTCCCTAATTGTCGCCCATTGATGGCCTTCTGTCCTCTCCCCAACAACAGCACACAGCCAACCGCTTCCAACCTTAGTTGCTACAAACGCTCTGGCAGCGTTTGAACGCAAATGCCAAACGCACCCAAAAACGCAAACGCTCTCTGGGTTTTTTTTCGGGCTGCCCCCCCGAAAAAAAACACGAGATTGTCGTTGGAGAATAGCCTTAAGGATAGGTGATTTACAAGCTGATCCGGCCCAAGACGTCAGGCACGCCCTTCGCGTGTGTAGTGGGAGCCCTCCTCGTGTTGAAGATACGAGAAGCATTGGTGTCAACCCTCCTCCCATCCTTAGGAACGAGGGTCCTGGTAGGGGAGCCTTGATCAGCGCTCGCATTCACAATACTACCGGCAATCGTAGTGGGACCACGTGTCGCTTCCTCAGAGGCTGAGGGCTCGAGTGATGCCAAGCTTCCCGAGAAGGACTGTCGTCGACGACCGCGAAAGGTGGAGGCGGGTTTCTTCCCGCGGGGAGGCGACGGGGATAGGAGCGCCGCCGCGCAATCCGAGGCGGAAAGGGCTCGGCGGGACGGCAATGCTCCACCATGGTGGGAGGCGCAAGCGACGGCGCTGGCCTGTGCGCGGTTCCGCCGCGCTGGCGCGGAGCTGCTAGGGGCAAGCGGAAGAGGCGGAACGGACGCGTCCAGGGTTTGTTGGTCGCAGCTCCTATCATGGGTTGGGTAGAGGTCACGCGGGTGAAAGAGCGGGTGAAAGAGCGGGTGAAAGAGCGGGTGAATGTCGGGCTGCTGGGGAGCATGCAGGCGCGCCATGACAGAGGAGGAGATCGTCAATGGCGGACTGGGAGTGGATGAGATAGCTCGAAAAGTAAAAGCTTCGTTTGTCGAGGACTAAGTGGGAGCTCTCAGCATTTTAAGGTGGTGTTTCCATTCGCCTCCTCTCCACTCCTTTCTCTCCTCTCCTCTCCTCTCCTCCTTTCCTCCACTCCCCTCTCCTCTCCTCCACTCTCCCCCAGCTGAAGTCACTAGGGGTAGTCTCTCCGCTGGTCTGTTTGGTCGAAGGCGTGAATGAATAGGGACGGGTGTTGAAGGCATGGGGGAGACCGAGGCTAGCCTGCCAGATTTGGCGGAGAATAAATTTAAGGAGCGACGAAATCTGGCACGATACTGGGGCAATCCCGACAACCGCGTGAAGAGTCACGAGCGGGGAGCTTGGCCATGCGACCACGTCTCATGTGCTCCCGTTTCCCATTCGTCAGCGTGATACACGGATCGTCGTGAGAGAGGGGATCTGCCGATTCTCTACGCCGTAGTCTTTGACGCGTTTCCGGCCAGTGGATAGAGTGAAAGGCTGAAATGAAATTGCACCTGATCAAAATAAGTCCCTAGTCTTCGACAGATCTAAGGCTCTGCGTTCTCGATACGGTAACATTGTGGCGACGAGCATAACGTTGTCCTTTGGCGACAGTAAAAGGCGGCGATGGCTGTTGCTGAAGTGGAATCATGGTTAGGGATTGGAGAGATCAGCCGTGATTCGACCGCCATTGTAGATATTGTTGGGTTCGCAAAGGCAAGGCGATTATTCCAACCACAGTTCCAAAATAATTCGATTGGACCAAGGCGTGGAAACCACATGAAGCAGAAGTCTCTTCGACCAGAATCATCACAGATTTCTCTGCGAGCTATGCGAAAAATTATTACCGTCGACGAAACAGCTAACGAGAAACTCAATGACCTCGACGAAAGAGAGTTTTTCGCCATGAGCAGCAGGAGGTCGTTCGTACCCCAAGTTACCTGCCCTTGCTTGCCTCAGGATATTCGTTCGACTCTCCTTCCGCTACACCGTTAATGGTCTGGTCACCCGCAGAAACGTAGCCTCCCTAGCCAACCGTTTTCAATTCAAAACGCTTAGAATCTACGAAATTCAGGAGGCTAATGTGTGCTCAGCCGGGGTGTACTGTCATCAGTGGAGTTCTTTTAATTGTTCTCTCCTCTGGCCCCAAGCCCTAACCTACCCCCCTTTTTACTGTGGCACAGTGGGGTGCCTCCGGATCTCTTGGATGCTGCCTGAAATCTATCCCCTAAAAGTCTAGTTACTGGAATACTATCCGAAATGCTATACACCTATTCTACCTTACACTTTACGTCACTGACCAAGCTGCGGCAAAATGTAACGTGGAAAGCTATTTTGCCAGGCAAAACTGGATTGTATAGGCGAACAGTACACTTTGGTCGCATTTGAGTAAATGCGAGTGGCAAGGGTTGTTCGGACGCAGCGCACATACGCAGACGTGTCAGGTGCTCAACGGCGAACACCGACGTTGCTTTGACACGTGGTATTCATGTAGTGGGTTCAATAGCGGGAAGATGTTTCTCGTGATTTCCAACTTCGCAGAGCCACATAACTCATGCATTGTGATTCTGGATGTGCGTCGTGATTGGTCGTAAATGTTCTGAGAGGCAAGATTGCGCAAATCATATTCGAATGTTCAATTACTGTTTCTCGTGTACTCGTCGATTATAACGTCATTGAGATATAGTGGGGTATATGGTTACATGGAGTGTAACGGCAAATTAAAGTGTTCTGCTGTGGACTGTTCGGTGGGATAGGTGTAGAATCTCCTTGGAGGACCACACTAGAGGAAGGCAGTTATGAGCAAAAGGGCACAGACAAGCAGATCATGTTCCCGAGGCGATCGAACGAAACCCTATGTCATCCACAACGGCAATCGCATCATCTCGACCATTCATCTATCCAAGCTGACTAAGCGCCACCACCACCTTTTACTAGAGCCAACACGGCTTACACGCGTAGGCAAGGACGATAACGGCGAATACGATCGGCTATCCTTTCCCCCCTCCCTAAAGTGAAGTGACGAGACGACACTGTCGTTAGAAACTTCCGTTTCTAGGAACTTAGCTTATGAGTAATAGATTCTTTCTTTATGGCAGCAGCTGTCGTACATAACCGCTCCAGCTGGCCGTTTCACCACTCTGATGGTTGGGGAACGGGACGGCGTGGCATGTGGTCACGTGGTAAAGCCCTCACGTGATTCATGTGGAGAAAGAACGTTACGAACCGTCGAGAGGGCTCTTCCTGGATACGCATCATCGGATCTGTCGCCATGAGTCATGGCGGCCTCCCCGCCTTTGCGGGATCCGAGTCAGCCCCTGCCCGGTCCAGCCTTCGTGCGAACTTCCGACAAACAGACAAGTCCAATCGGGGTGGCAGCACGGACAAATCTCTGAGTGCGACCGGATTGGCCAAAAACGTTTCGTCCGTCCGTCCGTCCGTCTGGATTGGCTGTTACTACTGCGACCTGGGTGGCCGCCACGTTGGCGCCAGGACCAGTGGGCCACCAGCTGACTGCTCTTGAGGGTCGCGGTCGTCATGACTCACGATGACGAAGAGCAGCTACTGCCCTTAGAATCCAGTGCGTAAGGGCCAAAGTCCTTCTAAAACCACCTGTCCAATCACTCCCAAGCAGCCTGATTTTGCGGCGTCAGTGTTACTAAAAGGCTTCACGTTCCAGCGTCATCCATACTTCACATTGACGTCACCAGACTATCATGCTTCAATTGGAGACTTGACGACCCAGACTGTGATACACCAGCTCAACCCTTCAGCTGAGCCATCAGGTTTCTCCGGGGATCCTGGTAGTAACCATAACTGATTCCTCTGTATATGCGCAATTCCAGCGTGAACGTGGGATTATCTCAGGGCAAGACGAAGAGCAATTCTGCCATTCTTCCTGGTCCACCCTAAATCCAGGGCCTGGAGAAACAAGCACCCTTGCTGCAGTGGCAGCGGCGGCAGCAGCAGCAGCGGCGGTGGCGGCAGCGGCAGCGGCAGTGGCAGTAACAGCAGGAGCAGCAGCATCGGCGGCGGCGAGCAGCCATTCAGAGCCCTCAGGTTGTCATTAGAGCGGGGTGTGCAACTCTGGTGGTTATGACGCCACGCAGCAGATGGGCCAAGGAGCTGGTGCTAGAGCACACGTCAGGAGGTGTGAATAAGCGAGGTTACTATGACGAACGCCATGATGATCTAAATGAAAATGGTCGTGCGGACAACAATGCACACAGGCGCAGGATATTCCGAGCATGCCCAACTCCAGCAGCAGCAGCAGCAGCAGCAGCAGCAGCAGCTCCTGCAGCCATGCACGCATCATCATCTAGTGACAAAGCGAGCCGCACTGCTGCAGAAGTCAATGCAGGGATCATTCAGCAGCATGGGAGCCCCTTTATCGCGGCAGGGTCAGCGACATGGCAAGAAGCAGCTGGAGTCAGACAGCTCTTCAATGGAAGCTCACCTGGGAGCCCACCTATCCTGAGAGCTGTCAGCACTCCAGCATGGCAACAGAGCTCTTATGCAGCTGCTTTGAATGGCAGGGAGCGGCCAAGCTGGGCAGCTTATGTTCGTTATAAGGAAATGATGGGGATAACAGTCTTGTCTGCAAAGACATGTGAGCCCCGCAATGCAACACACTATGATGTGGAGGTTCAAAGCATGCATAAGGCCAAGTCCACTGGCTCGTTCACGGGATTGCCTTCTGGTACTCGAGCCGTGATCCCTGACCTGAACCTTCCTCCCTGTGAGACTGGCGAGCTGACACACTGCCGGTGCCGGGTCTACAGATCCTCCCATGCAGGAGATTTCCCTTATGCCTCAGAAGTGCATGTAGCTGATTTTAGAAGCACTGGCCTCGCAGAGATGCGCTTGGCTGGTACGATGTGCAAGCATCAGCAGCAGCAGCAGCAGCAGCAGCAGCAGCAGCAACACAATGAGCACCGAGATCTACTTTCAGAGCAGCGTCGAATGCTCATACAAGAACTCATGCCCGTTTGGGAAAAGAATGTTCTGCTTTAGTAGAGTGTGCATTTGCAGCAATATATTCTTGTTTGCCTTGGAAAAAGCAGCATTTTCCTTTGCATATGTGCATGTTCTCTTTACCCACTCTAGTGGACGGCAACCATGGAGCATGAGCCATTGGTCGTGGAATCCGTAATGTATCTGGATTGAGCATGCTGAAGTGATCCGATGAGTAACTTCTAGCTAGTTTGAGTCTCACTCACAGTGTCATTGTTAGCGTTGAACGGAGTAGCGGGCTGTGAAATTTGATTCGCGGTACTGTAATTCGCGTTTTCAGACAACGGAGGGTAGTCGTGCGTTGCTGCGATTTAGGCGTGAGGTAGTTTATAAAGCTTATACGTACATTCCGTCAGTTTTACCTATACATGGGGAGGCAATTGACACGGTCCATTTTCCGACATATAGCTGGTTCTCTCTGCCTTCTGCAGCAGCAGCGTCACAAGGGAAAGAGCTAACCACTAGCTTGAAGTTATACAGTTTGATGACGCAATTAGCTGATACATCCTCCCCACCTTGAAACTCGCCGTCGCAAGCCGATAACAGGCAGAGAATCTCGGGCAGTTGTTCGTTGGTGTTATTCGTGGAGGCTAAGCCAGAAACAGTATCGGGAACTTTTGCGTTTACATTATAGTTGAAATGTACATTTAAGAGCAAAACGCTTAAGCACCGGGGGTGAAGTTGGTGGCATAGGCCCAGGCGTTGTTGACGGTGGGGTCAGCCAGGTGGTCCGACAGGTTCTCCAGGGGACCCTTGCCGGTGACGATGGCCTGGACGAAGAAGCCGAACATGGACACCATGGCGAGGCGGCCGTTCTTCAGCTCCTTCACCTTCAGCTCAGCAAGGGCGTCGGGGTCGTCAGCCAGACCCAGGGGGTCGAAGGCACCGCCGGGGTACAGGGGGTCCTCAACCTCTTGGAAGCCCTCCAGGCCACCAACGCGGTAGCTCTCGACGGCACCCATGAGGATGACCTGGCACGCCCAGATGGCGAGGATGGACTGCGCGTGGATCAGGCTGGGGTTGCCGAGGTAGTCGAGGCCGCCCTCGGAGAAGATCTGAGCGCCGGCCTTGAACCACACGGCCTCGCCGAAGTTCACGCCGTTGCCGGCGAGGAGCTCGGGGGTGAGGCAGCCGAGAGCACCGAGAAGAGCCCAGCGAGCGTGGATCACCTCCAGCTCACGGTTCTTGGCGAAGGTCTCGGGGTCAGCGGACAGACCAGCCGTGTCCCAGCCGTAGTCGCCGGCATACTCGCCGGTGAGGTACGACGGGGGGGAGGAGTACGGGCCCAGGAAAAGGCTGCGGTCGGGGCCATAGAACTGGCTGCTGGAAGCCGCCTTGGCGGTCTTCCTCATGGTGACGCGGGCCTCGACATTGTTGACCTTGGCGGCGAGCTCGGCGCTCTGACCGACGAAGGTGGAGGGGAGCACAGCAGCGTTAGCGAGAGCAGCCATTGTGTGGGATGGATGTCTCGAAAGAGAAGCTGAGCAAATTAATTCAAGGGACCGAAAGCTGTTCCGATAATCATCTTTGCTTGACTCAGTTGATTATAAGCTGCAAGGTAGTGAGTGACAGCGGCGGTGACCTTGGGGGACTTAGCAGGCCAAACTGGAGGATGGATAGATGTGGTGGGATCATGGATGGGATTCTGGGAGAGGATGATTGGCTGGGTGTCGTTGAGAAATCAGTGATTGGGTTTGAGTGGGTTTCATTGGACGTTGCTCATGGAACTTTGCGTGGCTGACGTGTTCTCCACCCTTTGAAATCACCCTGGCGGTCCTTCCACATCCACGAAATCCCAATTCAGCCAATCAACGTCCGTCGGGGGCTACCTCAGCCGAATGTCGCCCACCAGCAATGCCGGTGTGTATGCGACAAGCCTGTCAGTTTTCGCAAGGTCTCGCGAAGCTGGGTGACTAGCGAATGCGCGGTTTGCTGGGGGCATTTGATTGGAGATGGATCGCCTTGAAGTGCACGTCACGGTTCCAGTGGTCTCTACCATGCACTGCCCAACCAAAAGCACAAGGTGAGACTCCCAAGGCGACATCATCTGGGCCAATAGTGTGTCCGGAACTGTAGGTACAGATCTCAGAATTAGTTAGCCAGTTATCAAGATGCCATTTTGTTGGTTTAGAAAAATCTATCAAGGTTAGGAAAGAGAGACCATCACGAAACTGCAAGTTGCTACATTTACTATATCATATATATATACAGGAAAAAATCTGGTCGAAAACATCCGTTGTGAATGTTTCAAAACTTGGGTAAAGCTACGTACATTCAGGGCATCCAAAGAGCTGTGTAGTTGGCCACTTTACATACCGTATTCCCCCGTATAAAGTATCAACTTATACATATATTTGCATGTAGAAGTTATAGGCTAGAATAGGTGTATGTTCTTAGAGAGTACAACCCAACCCTATATCTTGCTTGTTCTCTCTTGTTTCTCTTCATCCTAGTATTCTAACATGGAATCAGAGCAGGTTAGGTTCCCCCCCCCCCCCCGCCCGCTTCCGCCCCGCGCCCTAGACTACTGCGCCTCGCCGGCCCCTATCATGCCCAAGCCGGCCCTCCCTCGCGCCGTCGCCAGCCCCTCGCACCTAGCTAGCCACTCGCGCCGCAGCCAGCCCCACCCTGTGCCCTAGTCGGCCCCACACACCTATTTGGCCCCCCTCGTGCCCAGCCAGTCACTCCCTCGCGCCGTAGCCGGCTCCTAGCGCTGTAGCCAGCCCCTCGCGTCGTCGCTGGCCCCTCGCGCTCAGCCAGCCCCTCGCGCCCATCCGGCCCTCACTCGCGCCCTAGCCGGCCCCTCGCGCCGTCACCGACCCCTTGCGCCCAGCCGGCCCCTCGCGCCCAGCCAGCCCCTCGTGCCCAGCCGGCCCCTCGCGGCCAGCCGACCCCTCGCGCCCAGCCGGCCCCCTCGCGCTTAGCCGGCCCCTTCTTGTGCTGCCGCCGGTCCCTCCCTCGCCTAGCCGGCCCCTCTCACCCAGCCGGCCCCTCGCACCTAGCCGGCCCCTACCGCCTAGCCGGCCCATCCTGAGCACCTGCCCGGCCTCTCGCACGTCTGGCCGGCCCCTCGTGCGCCTCGGCCTCTTCCGCGCCCGCAGGCTCCCCCTGCCGCCACGTTGTTGCATCGCCGCGCACCTGTGTCCCTGTGCCGCTGTGTCCCAGTGCCGCTGTATTCCGGTGCCGCTGCGGTTGTGCGATGGCAGACGCCATGCTACGTCCGGAAGCGGAGGGGCACGCAATCGACTTCGCCGCCTGGCTGGTCGACCTTCGCCGGCACCTGACAGGTCAGCGCCAGGATGGGCACTCCCTGGTTGTGCATGTGGATGGCTTGCTTCCCCGCCCCTCCGCACCTGATCCCCTCCCTGCTGACCCCACAACTGCTGAGAGTGAGGCCTTTGCTGCTACTGCACTTGCTCGCGCTGTCTGGAATTCTCGCGATGCTGTAGCGTAGCTTGCCATTAGTCATGCGCTTCCCCTTTCTGAGCGCCCGCGTTTTACTGCTGTCACGAAGGCCAAAGACTTCTTAGATGTAGTGGTTGCCCGCTACTCACCTTTGTGCACTAGAGACTAGCTACCGCGCTGCTAGCACTACTATCCAGCTCACTGTCTTCCCCCTGCCATTCTGCGCTACCCTGTACCTTATTGCCATGCGCCTGCCTGATTGCTTAGCCACTGCCCGCGACCATTTCCTTGGCCAGCAACCTGGTGACCTCACCCTGACCGCTTTTGTCGCTGCCCTTTCTGAGATAGAAACTCGCCAGCGCACAATCGCTCAGTCGAGCGGTGTTGCGGCAGTCCCTATCTTTCAGGGCTGTGCTCCCTCCCAGTGTACGTACGCTAACGTTACTACCGCGGTCGCTACGGCTGCTCCTATTGCTGAGACCGCAGCGGCGGCCTTCCCGCAATAGGAGCGACAGCGTCGGGGCCGTCGTGACCTCAAGGGAGGGCGTGGTGGTGGTGGCAGCGACAGTGGTTCTGACGAGGGGGCCAGGGCAAGTGTCCAGGAGTAGCAGCAGCCGCAGCAGTCACAACAGCGGCCACAGCAGCAGCAGCCGTGGGCCCGCCTCCCGCCGGGGTGGCTGGGAGCCCATGGAGGTGGTGGCCGCGGTGGCGGTCCTCGCAGCTCGGCGTCGACCAACGGCTTCGGTGCTGTGGGCTGCCAGTACCAGCTCCAGACCGGCCCCCTCCGTGGCACCGTGTGCCGCCGCCCACTACTTCTGCTGCCTCGACGACCTCTTCCGTCGCCGCTTTGGCCCGGCCCCGGACCTCCCTGACTGGCCCAGTCTGCTGCGCCATGGTGTGCATGTTTTTTACTTAGACATGGATCAGATTAGTTCTGCCTTGCATTCTTTGTATGCTGACGCTTCTAGTGTGTCTGGATCGTAATACCCAGTATTCTCTAGCTTAGGCGTAGCACCTGTGTGTAGTCCAGACACCCCTGCTACGTCAAGCATAGGACCGTTTGCTTTGTCTAGTCTAGGCTCCACCCTCGCTCCTCCTACGTCTGCCGCTACTGCTTCGCTCTCCATCACACTTGATTTCGATGCGTCTTCCTGCTTCTTCCGCAACCACACCACACTCACGCCGCTTGCGACGACTGCCGCTTTCGCACTAGCTGACCCCTCTTCAGGTCCTATCGATGCTCGCAGCTACACTACCCTTCCCTGGCCAGCGGTCCCCTCGGGTTCCCTTACAGGCCTGCACATCCCCTCGGAACTTAGTTGGTGTCGGCTGTCTTCAGGACCTCGGCGTCAGCACTACGTTTCCTGGTCATGAGCGGTACATTGTCTGTGCCGAGGTCGCTTTAGGTTCCCCCCTTGCGACGTTCCCTCGGGACCCGGTGTCTGGCCTCTTTACGCTGGACACTGCTTCCTCCCAGGTGGGCACATCCTCCCCGGGCCCTGCATCTACCCAGGTCACTGCGGCTTGCTCGTGTCGGTCGCTCACTCACCGGTTGCTTCTGTGGCACCATTGTCTAGGTCACCCCGCACTCCCGCGTCTACGTCACATATCTCAGCACGGTCTCGTTCTCGGTCTCCCTGTGTCGCTTCGTGCCCTGCCTCCCTCGCCTGCACCGCCATGCACCCCCTGTGTCGAGGGCCGGCTGCGCCGTGCTCCTCACTTCGTCCCGCCGCCGCACATCTCCAGACCGTGCACCTGGACGTCTGGGGCCCAGCCCCTGTCCTTGGACCGCGTCGCGAGCGCTACTTTCTAGTGCTCGTTGACAACTACACGCGCTACACCACAGTTTTTCCCTTGGAGCGGAAGGCCAACGTGCCTGACATTCTCATTCCATGGGTTCTTACTGCATGCCTCCCCACGGTCTCTCAGTGCTGTGTCTCCACTCCGACTGTGGCGACGAGTTCGCCTCTGGTCGGCTTGGACAGTTCTATCGTGCGGAGGGCATCACCCAGTAGTACACCCCGCTGTAGAATGGGGTCACTGAGCGATGCATCGGCTTGGTCATGGAGGTGGCTCGTACCTCCATGATTTATGCCGGTGAACCCCATTTTCTGTGGCCGTTCACTGTTCGCTATGCCGCTCACCAGCTTAACCTCTGGCCGTGCTCCCAGCGGCCGCAGGTTTCGCCGACCCTTCTTTGGACCGGGTTTCCTGGTGACGCATCCGCGTTCCAGGTCTAGGGCTGCATCACTCACGTTCGTGCCTCTGGCACGATCAAGCTCACTGCCCGCACTGTCCCATGTGTCTTCCTCGATTTCCCCCTTGGACTCGTCTGACTCGCACTTTTACCACCCGCCGTCTCACCGCTTTCTTCACTCCCGTAACGCCACTTTCGACGAGTCTGTCTCCTTTTACCACCGCATTCCCCACCGCGGCCTGCCGGTTTTCCTTCTCCTGTTTCTAGTCCCCACTCCCACGATAGCCCCTACTCACCTTCCTCCCCGTCCTAGTTTGACTGGTGTGTCTCACGTCACTCCCCTCCCGTCGGTCGTCCCGGTCGAGGAGTCGGTTGACTCTGGTAGCCCTGCGGTGCAGTTCTCCCCGCCTCTCTCCCCCCCAGTGTCTCCTCCTCCGCCGTCGCAGTCGCCGCCACCGCAGCTGCCACCGTCACAGCAGCAGCAGCCGTTCATGGACTCTAGGGGTGCTGTCTTTGAAAAGGGTGCTAGTCCTGGGGTTCTTGTCATGGTTTGTCCCGGCCGGCCCACGGGTGGCACCGGTGCCGGAGAGGGTTCTCGGTCGGGGGGTGCTCGTTTTGGGGGTGCTGGAGTGGAGTGTTCTGGAGGTAGTCGCGGTGCCGCTGGCGGTCCAGGTGTCGGCGTGGAGCACCAACAGCAGCAGTCGCCACCGGTGTCCGCCCTTCGCCTGCTCGGCCTTCCCTCCCCCGACCGCTCGCCTACGCCTCCCCCGCCGCCTCCTCCCCTTCCTGTTCACGGTCCTGTGTTTCCTCCGCCGGACTCGTCCCCGGCCCGTTTCCCACCTCGTTCCCCTCATATTTCTCCTCCTCTGTCTCCTAACCTGACACCTCCGTCTCATGTCTGGTCTCGTCGTCCCTCTCCTGCTCGTCCTGTCTCTCCATTTCCGTGTT